CACTGTTGGGGCTGGAGAGATGGCTCAATAGTTAAGAGCACTAGCCAGCTGCTCTTGCAGAGGACCTGGGTTCAGTTCCCAACTCCCACATGACAGCTAACAGTCATCTGTAACTCCAGTTCCAGGGTATCTGATACCCTCTTCTGACCTCCATGGGCATTTCAGGACACAGGTGTTTTTATATGCATGCAGGCCTTTACACTCATACACATAAAATAAAAATAATAAATAAAATATTTTTAAAAATTTCATCCAGGCCTGGCATGGTGGCACACACCTTTAATCCCAGCATGCAGAAGGCAGGGGCAGGTGGATGCCTCTGAGTTCAAGGCCAGCCTGGTCTACAAAGCGAGTTCCAGGCCAGCTAGGGCTACAGGGAGACCCTGTCTCAAAAAGACAAAAAAACCCAAAAAAACAGGCCTACAAATTTAATGAGCGGCTATAACAATCTTCAGGGCAGTGCCACCTGAGGAAGATGCAGCCAGGGAGCTCGTACCTTAGCCTCTTTGGAGCTGCTGGATGCCTTCCCTTCAGTCTTCTTCTGCTTTGAGGTGGAGGAGCTGCTCTTGCTGCTGGTGCTGCTCTCCTTGTTGTTGTTACCACTCGACTTTAAGGAAGAAGACTGGCTGAGCGTCCTCTTCCGAGAGCCATGCTCTGTTTTTGACTCTTTTGAAGGCACGGGCCCCGCAGGTGATGGTAACAAGTCCCTCTCTTTTGCACTGCTCTGCTTAGATGACCTGCCAAACACCACAAATGCCCTCCTTTCTCACACAGTGATAAAGGAGGGCGGATTTTTCCACTTTTCACGTGTTTTTAAGACAAATTTTACACATACCCTCCATATTATTGCAAAAAGTGAGACTGCAAATTCCCTGAAGTAGACATCCTGTCTTTTTTTCTCCTCTGACTACCTACTTTCCTTTGACCACAACTGTAAGCCTAGTGTCTAAAACAACCTGCCACACAATAAATGCTTAATAAGTGTTGGTTGAATCAATAAACACATAAATTATGAAAAAGTAATGTTTAAGTTACTAGTCTCTTTCAAATTACAGAGAAGCTTGTTATCCACCCAGAAAACGACAAGGCTGTGCTGTAATTCTCATCCTATAGCCCTATTCCATTAAGAGAGGAGAGTAACTACATTTTAAATGCTTTTCATCTCTACTAGCTAAAAGCAAAAGTTCCTAGTAGTTAGTGCATGTACACACACATATACTAAAAAGAATACTCTGAAAGCCTGTTACAAAGTACTCAACAATAATGTAACACTAGCAACAACACTGGCATGCAACATGTTTCCAACATACTCTCTGTTGCTGGACAGCTTGTGGCCTGATGAGGTCTTGTCCTCTGTTTTGGGTTTTTTGCTCTCAGTGGCTCGGTTATCTTCATCATTCTGGATGAAAACAGAAACAGCAGGTCTTCCCTGAGCAGGTGTCCTGTGTTAGATACCAAGCCACTGGGACAGAGTCCTGTGGTCTAGATGGTATCTCCCCTACATGATAATTCTAGGGAGAGGAAGCATCCATACAATTATAACTACATGTAACTCCCATACCATAAAATCCACCCTTTAAAAGTAACTCTAAGGCTGGATGTGGTGGCACACCCCTTTAATCTCAGCACTTGGGAGGCAGAGGCAGGCGCATTTCTGTGAGTTCCAGGCCAGCATGGTCTACATAGTGAGTTCCAGGTCAGCTAGGGCTACAGGGAGACCTTGTCCCAAAAAGACCAAAAGAAAAAAGAAGAAAAAAAAAAGGATGCAACTCTATGGCATTTAGCGTATTCAGGAGTTGTGCAGCCACCACTACAACCAATTTTAGAGCATTTTCATTATTCCTCAAGGACACCCAACACACACCAGCAGTTGGCCCACAATTCCTCCTCTCCCAAGGCCTGGGAGGCATTAATCTCCACGTGTCTTTAGGAGTCTGCCTATCCTAGATCTGACATATAAATGGAATCATATAATGTGGCCTTCCCTTTTGTTAAAAAAAACACAATCTTTTTGAGATTCATCGACCATTATGGTATGGATCAATACTTCACTCTTAGAAGACATTTTGTTTATTCATTCATCAGCTGAACAATGTTGCTATAAGCACTAAAGTACAAGTTTTCTGCAGACATACTTTCATTTCTGTCTTGGGTATAGACCTAGGACTATAATTTTTAGACCATACGATAGCTGTATGTTGAACTTTTTGAGGAAAAAGGAAAGCAACCACATTTTACAATCCCACTAGCATTGTATGAAAGTTACAATTTTTCCAGTCTTCACCAATAATTGTTATGAACCAACTTTTTTGATTATAGCAAAGCCTAATGATTTTTCAAAAACATCATTAAAAACACAAGTGACAGTCCTGTCTACTGTTGAGGCTACATTTGGAGGTGAATCTAAGTTTTCCTATTGCTTCAAATAGTAGACAATAAAAACACAAACATTCTACCATAACGAAAGAATCTATACCCATCAATACCAAATTCAGACAGAGGATGACATGAAGAAAGGCACTGACAACAGTGACCGGGCCTGCCTTCTCAGGACCACCACAGTGACCGGGCCTGCCTTCTCGGGACCACCACAGTGACCGGGCCTGCCTTCTCGGGACCACCACAGTGACCGGGCCTGCCTTCTCGGGACCACCACAGTGACCGGGCCTGCCTTCTCTGGACCACCTGTTTCTTCTCCAGGAATTGTCCCTGATACTTTATCAAAAGCACATTTCAAAAACCATAAATCATGAGGGAGGGTGGAGAGGGATGGTAGGGAGGTAGGAGGTAAGAGTAGTCAGTATGCAAATCATATACATGTGAAACTGTAAAAACAGATAAAAATGTAAAAACCATAAACTTTTTTTTTGCCTTCTCTGGACCACCTGTTTCTTCTCCAGGAATTGTCCCTGATACTTTATCAAAAGCACATTTCAAAAACCATAAATCATGAGGGAGGGTGGAGAGGGATGGTAGGGAGGTAGGAGGTAAGAGTAGTCAGTATGCAAATCATATACATGTGAAACTGTAAAAACAGATAAAAATGTAAAAACCATAAACTTTTTTTTAAAAGAAAAGATATATTAAAAAAACACGATTTGAAAGATTATATCCCATGGGTTTTTTGTTGTTTCTTTTTTGTCTTTTTGAGACAGGGTCTCTCTGTAGCTCCAGCTGTCTTGGAACTCACTATGTAGAGACCAGGCTGGCCTCGAAGGCCTCGAACTCACAAAGATCCGCCTGCCTCTGCCTCCTGAGTGCTGGAATTAAAGGCATGCGCCACCACACCCGGTGTTGTTTGTTTTTTTTTTTTTTTTAAATAATAATCACAGGCCAGTGAGATGACTCAATCAGGTAAAGTACTTGCGGCTGAATCTGACAACCCGGGTGAGATCACTGGGACCTGCATGGTGGGAGAAGCAAATCCTGAAAGCTGTCCTCTGACCTCCCCACACACATGGTGACACATTGATGCCTCCCTACCCAACAAACAAACAACAAAATAGTAAAGAATAGTTGTAATAATAGTAAATAATGTTGGTTTCCTACATACACATAATAGGAAAAATAGTCTTTTTCAAAGCAAATCATTTTAAAATTTTACTTGCTTCTAAACATTAACCACTAAAGAGAAGATCAAATTGTGTCTTCCAAAGAGTTTCTATGTGACTATTACCTTAAAATCTTAGCCATTCTTGAGTTTCCACACTTCCTAGTTCTATAAGAAGCTAACCTTACCTATCTTTAAATGACCTTGGAAGTACTTTAGGATGAGAGTCAGACTTTCCTTCAGGGACATATGCTAAGCCAAGAGCTCTTTCACGGAGCTACAGCCTCAGCTCCAATCAATGAATGTTTTCTGATCTTTGTTATGAGGAAAAAAAGCAGGGCACAGATATGTGTGCTGAAAGGGTGAAATTCTCAAGGAGGCACCAGAAAATTAATGAGTCATTTTTTTTTTAGCTGACATTAGGCCAGTTAGTAGTCTTAAAAGAATGCCTCAGCCTAAGTATAAGCCAGAAGCTTTGGCAGGGATTACCTCTAACTTAGCACTCAGTGTCTGCTCTGGCCTCACTTTTACCCTGGCCACCATATTCTCTGCATAGAGGCCCCAACTGCTAAAAATCACCCCGTTTTACCGAAGAAGACAGAACACACTTATAACCTCAATGGGGCCTCCAGCTCAACCACTATTTCCGCTTACAGTTCATGATCCACAGATCATTTTGTTACAAACCAAGATCTCAACAGTATGTCAGATGCAGATGTCTAAAATAAATAATAGCTACCAGAGAGATGGCTCATCCAAGCCTGACATCCTGAGTTCAATCCTCAGGACCCATTTGTGGAATCAATTCCCACAAGTAGTCCTCTGACCTCCATACATGCACTACAGCACATACACACAAATAAAATGCAATTAAAAAACAATAGCAACTATGTAACTCAAAGTCAAAACAGCAGTAAGTCCTTGGGGCTAGTGAAACAGCTCAGCAGCGAAGAGCTCCAGCTACTCTTCAGAGGACCCAGGCAGTTTACAACTGTCCGTAACTCCAGTTCCTGGGGATCCTATGATGGCTCTGGCTTCCAAGGGCACTCACGTGCATGTGGCACAGATACATACATATAAATAAAATCGCATTTTAAAAAATATCAAGGTGTGGGGCTGGAGAGACGGCTTAGTTGTTAAGAGCACTAGTTGTTCTTGCAAGAGGACCCAGGTTGGATTCCCAGCACCCACATGGCAGCTAACAACTGTCTTAACTCCAATTCCAGGGGATCCAATGCTCTCTTCTGACGTCTGCAGGCATTGCACGACATGGGTGCACTTACATATATGCAGGCAATACACTCATACACATAAAATAAAAATAAATAAAATATTTATATTAAGGTGTTTAAAGACATGGAATGTGGGAACAACCACATATTTCTAAAATAAAGAAAAAATAAACAACAAAAGCCTTACAAACCTTATGCTTCCTCTTGCCTTTGTTAGAAACTCTTTCTGAGGCTGGTTTCTGCACCTCTCTCGTATGTTTTTCTGGCATGCTTTTCTTTTCTCCCTTGGGTGGTTCTGTTTCTTTGTAAGGCTTTCCTGGTATTCGAGTCAAGAGATTCAGGTCAATCTTCACAATAAGTGGATACCTATCATCAGGCTCACTGAGGGGGGAAAGAAGTTCCTTCTCTTCCATAGGAGAGAACATTCGTTGCCGAAAAAAGCTGTCTTCTTCCTCCCCCGACGAGGGTTTCACAGGAGTCCTACTGCTGTCGGGGTACTTAGGAGTCTGTGAGGAAGGAGGAAGGCTCTCACTCTCATCCGAATCTGAGGAGGAGGTGTCTGTTTCTATGATTTCCCGTGACTTCTGAGAAGATTTACTTGTTGACTTGTATCTCTTCTTCTCTGCGGTAGGTCGAGGGGAAGATTTAGACTCCTTCTTTATATTGGGCCTCCGGGAGCCCTTGGTGGCCGCTTTGTGTCTGCTGGATGGCATGCTGGCGGCTGCGTCCACTGGGGTTTCACTTTCTACCTTCAGGCCTCCGCGGGGCTCCTCTGCAGCTGATTTCTCAGGTTTTTTGGGTTGTTTTTTACCTACGGTTCTCCTCTGTGTTGTGCTGTCACTCTGGGCAGGGGACTTCTGTCTCCCACGCCCACTTTCTGATCCTTTCTGGATGGTTTTGGAGTCTCGTCCAGGAGTAGTAGAACTTGTTTCTTTAGGCCCCCCTGGGTCAGTGTAGCTACTCCCGGCACTCTGTTCTCGCCCCTCTTTTTTGTAGGCTTGAGATGATGGGATGTTACTGTCTACAGAAGAAGCTGGAGACACTTTATGTGGGTTCACTTTGTTCAGCCAATTATCAAGTTGCCATTTGTTTGTTGGTGGTGGTTCAGGCTGAAAATCAAAGAAATACATATATATATGTGTATGTATGTGTGTGTGTGTGTGTGTGTGTGTGTGTGTGTGTGTGTATGTGTGTATACATATTTTAATACTGAAGCTTCCTCCCTTTTATAGTCAAAGAGTAATATTTTATATTAAAAAAAGAATAATGTTTGAGGCACTAAGACATGTGGTGCTCATCGTACCTACAGGCAAAACACCCATACACATAAATAAAATCTAAGCTTTTTTCAAAGAATAAGGAAACCAAAGTGGTTCAGGTTTTCTCTAACATGCATAGTTCAATTGCCTTTCATCACAGTACGTGATGATCTCCTTCACCTTTGACAACCAGTTAGCATGAAGACCTGAAGCTGTGGAGGCGGCCCTCCTCCCCTCACCTCAGGAGAGGCTCTCTGCGAAGGCTCGTTGGCCTCACTGTCACTGGAACTGCTTTCACTCTCGGAGTCAGATCCAGAGCTGCTTTCAGATCCACTGTGACTGCTCGAATCATCCCTGGAGTTATCCGCCCCTTCACTATTAGGATGTGAAGGCTCAGAGTTACTGAGGAAAGACAGCACAAATGACCAAACATTTCCTTGGCAAAAAAAACAAAACAACAAACAAAAAACAGAAAAACATTCAAATCTGACAGACAGCCTACTTTATTCACAATGTGTACTTAAGCTATTACAGTTAAAGGAACTCAAAATTTCATTACAAATGCAATAAACACTCCCCTAAAAGTTTCTGCCATGCCACTTAGCCTTTAAAACAGTTTGAGGAATAATTTACATACCATAAAATTCACCCAGTTTAGGTGTATAATTTAATGAATTTTAGCTAATTTAGAGAATTGTACAGTCACCATCACAGGTGATAGTATTTATTGTGGTATCACCACAATGGTAGTCAGTGGCCGTAGCCAATAACAAAGCAGAACTGAAGGACGCCTACCTTCCTGGTGCACTCCTCGGCATCGTCTTACCACAGTCCTAACATTAGAACACAAGAGATAAATCTGTGAATGAATAAGTAATACTCTATTTGCCTAACATGAATGCCTGAACTAAAAAACCACTGGTTCTCTAACATGAATCAGTGTCTACTTAATACAGTGATTCAGAGTCCCCTGCAGCACTCGCAGGTGGATGTAACAGAAGCATAAGTCTTAAGGCCAGCCTGAGCTACAGAGTGAAACCCTGCCTCAACACAAAAGCAAGAACTAAAACAGCTCAAACAGCAGCAGCAAACCAGGGTACTGTTTCATATAAAGAATAACAGAATCTCAGGCTGAGGACGTAGCTCAGTGGAGGCACACCTAGCAAATGTGGGGCCCTAGGCTCGATCCCCTAATACCACCCCACCCCCACCAAAAAAAGAATCTCTAGGATAAGACAACAATCATCCAGTGTCAAAAAGGTTATAAGAAAAAGCTTTAAAAACTGGATCTTAAATGTGTTTCTCACTCGGTTCTAGATTAGGACATGCTGAGGGTTCTGTAAAAGGCTGGCAGGCCACACAGTGGACACACCTGCTCCCCATCACTGTCTTCACTGCTGCTCAGCTTTAAGTCATCTTTTAACATGCTGGAGGGAAAGACAGAGAGAAGCATTAGTTTTGGAATAGCTTTTCATGGCAGGTCAGGGCATTAAATATATTTACCAATAATTCCAGGAATCATCACTGTAGTAGTAAAAAATTTAACTAAAACTCTCTCTCTCTCTCTCTCTCTCTCTCTCTCTCTCTCCCACCCCTCCCCTCTATTTGGATTAGTTCACAAAGTGAAAACTGTAAAAGGAGGAAATTAACCATTTGATATGCTCTGAACTTTCCACAAGTTAAAAATAATTTTTTAAAACCAGGCAACGGTGGCACACACCGTTAGTCTCAATTCTTGGGAGACAGAGGCAGACAGATCTTGGTGAGGTCGGCATGGTCTACACAGCAGGTTCTAGGTCAGCAAGGGCTTCAGAGTGAGACCCTGTCTCAAACGCTTTTTAAAGAAAACAGGTTTATTTAGTACTCTGTAAGTAGGTATGGCAGTAACAGAAGAATCACTGGGCTGAGGAAAATACTGCTGTTTTCTAGTTAAAACAAGCACTTTCTGCCGGGCGTGGTGGTGCACACCTTTAATCCCAGCACTTGGGAGGCAGAGGCAGGTGGATCTTTGTGAGTTCAAGGCCAGCCTGGTCTACATAGTGAGTTCCAGGACAGCTGGGGCTACAGGGAGACCCTGTCTCAAAAAGACCCCCCCCCCAAAAAAACTAAAACCAAACAAGCACTTTCTATAAGCTCTCAGTTACACCTATCACAAACTTTTCTCCAATTATACACATACACTTATATTATTTAAAACAAATTAATACAGCTATAGCTCACTGTAGAACTCCTAAAGAGAAGCAAGCAAAATCAAAGCACCAAGCAATTCTTTCTCATTGTCTCCAGTGTTCCATGAGGGAAGACTGGGATAGCTGCTGGCAACTGGGTAACTGAAAACCCAGAGAACACGGCTCCCTGTCAAAAGGCCTGCTTCATAAATGCCTGGCTACGAAGGCATGGGATATCTACAGAAGAGTTTTGGGTGATAAAATGATCATGTATGAGTTTTTAAATTCCAGGTTCCAAATCTTCCTTGATCAAAATTCAAATTGATTAAAATACATAAATACTACAAGCTGATAATTTCTGGAGTTTTCTGGGGTTTTTTTGTTGTTGTTGTTGTTTTTAAAGATTTAAGTTTTCCTTGAACTATTAAACCTAAAATCTGAGTAACAAACCACAAATACTCCTAAATTAACAGTTTAGGGAGAACTACAACTAAGAAAATGTTTAGCTTCTTAGTACCAGTAGTTCCATTACCTTCTTTAAAAACGTTTATGAGTCTCCATCAATAGGAAGGTCTTCTTTACTTCAATAACTACTTGCACTTTCTCCTCAAAGCTTAACCTGCATCTCTAAATCTGACCCAGATTCAAAGCCTACACACACAAAAAAAATCACCTGGAAATAAGTAATCAAGAGATTATATAATTATGAAAAGTAATTTTTAAATTGGTTTGATTAAATGGGGGGTTTTAAAGAGTTTTCTTTTGGACAATGGCTTAGTGTTATCTCTAAGACTGATTTCCAGTAAGGAAATGTACTTACTCTGAATTCTCTCAGTCCTTATGATTTAATAATGGTAGTTCAATAAACCTGTTTATGAGTATGTCAAAGCTTTTACCAGACTGCTCCAGGTTTGGCAAGCTTTTGTTCCCTCAGCAACTAATATATACAGGCGACATACGTGAGAATGCAAAAGTCCTTGGTGTGTAGCTCCTGAGAGGTGTCAGCAGGATAGGGGAAGCTTTTTGTGTCAATGTGTTCTTCTTCTCAGTCCTCCTTTGCCAGCCAAGAGGCTACCAGGGTGAGGTTACCACTATAGTTTGTGGCTATAGCATAGAAAGTTGGCATTATGGCTACAGTTTCTTTAGACCTTGGTTGTAATCATGGTGTTAACTTGTGATCCCAGGAGTTTAGGTGTTTACCTTGTAAGATTGAGTTCACTATTATCAATATGCCCTACCCTACTGTGATTTATATTCCTGGTTTCACCTACAAATAAAAACTTAGGAAAACTTAGTAAAAACCATGTTGCTTTAATAAATGGTTTACTAAGAAGAAATCAAGATTTTTACTAACAAGTCTTTTAAAATGATTTCTTTATTAAATATAAATCATGAACACAAACATACAACTCAGAGATGAGAAAAAACTTTGAACTCAGAGCAGGGCTGGCACACTACGGCCTAGACACCAACCAGCCCACTACTGGTTTGTTCTCCTTTCCTTCTGTTTTCTAGGGTGTCTGCTTGCTTGTTTTTGAGACAGGATCTTACTAGCCCAGACTAGTCAAATTTGCTTTGTAGCTCTGGCTTTGAACTCGTGATGATCCTCTTGCCTCAGGCTTCCAAGTACTAGGATTATAGGGACGCATTTTCATGGCTAGTTCTCCACTATTCTTAAAGAAATGTTTATTGGCCAGGTATGGTGGCACAAGCCTTTAATTCAAGCACATGGGAGGCAGAGGTGGGTGGATCTCTATGAGAGCAAGGCCAATCTGGTCTGCACAGCAAGTTCAGGCCAGCTATGGCTACAGAGAGACCCTGTCTCTAAAAAAAAAAAGAAAATTTTATCGGACTAGAAATATAGCTCATTAGTATGGTACTTGCCTAACATGTGCAAGATGCTGAGTTCAATCCCCCACCAAAAGTCAGAGAAAGATGCTGGAGAGATGGCTCAGCAGTTAAGTGCACTGACTAATCTTGAAGAGGATCAAGGTTCAATTCCCAGCACCCACTGGTGGCTAACAACCATTTGTAACTCCAGTTCCAGGGGAATCCGATGCCCTCTTCAGACCTCTCTGGGCCTTGCACGACATGGGTGCAACTTTATTACATGTAGGCAATACATTCATACACATAAAATAAATAAAATAATTTTTTTTAAAAAAAGAAAGAAAATCCAAGCATAATGGCACTTGTCTATAATCTGACCACAAGGGAGATGAAGGCAGGAGGGTCAAGTTCAAAGTCCTCTTACTACATAGTAAGTTTGAGGCCAGAACAGACTATGTGACACTCTGTCTCAAAAGGCAACAACAACAACAATGTGAAACACAGACACATCTGTGGTCTATGATTGTTCCTATATTAAAATGACAGAACTGAGTACTCAGGACAGAAGCTATATGGTCTTGAAAAAATTCTCTGGCCCTTTACAGTTAAGTTTGCCTATGTCTGCCTTAAAACATTAGTTTCCTGCCTAAAGCATGAGTTTAGCATGCACAAAATTCCTGATTTCAATCTCTAGCACCACATTAAAAATAAACAAACATAGCCTAACAAAATGGTTCAGTGGGTAAAGGAATTCATCACCAAGACTGTCAACCTAAATGCGATCCCTAGAACCCAGTTGATATAAGGAGAAAACTGACTCCCACAATCTGTCCTCTGACTTCCACACATGTGCCTATACACACATACAAAATAAATAAATGATGAATTTAAAAATAAAATGGTATTTCTAATGTTTAAAATATCCAGCTATTACATATAACTTCTAGGAAAAAAAGACAAACCCATTAAGCAATAAACTTACGATTTTGACTGGTGCCCATTTGATGTTTTAGCAGGAGTATTGTATCTTTCTAAAACAGAGAATATAGAAGTAAGCAATTGAAATTGGCTATTTAAGATTATAAACTATTGCTGGGCATGGTGGTGCATGCCTTTAGTCCCAGCACTCAGAAGGCAGAGGCAGGCAGATCTTTGTAAGACTGAGGTCAGCCTGGTTTACATAGTGAGTTCCAGGACAGCTGGGATTATAGGGAGAACCGAAAGAAAGAAAGAAAGAAAAGAAAGAAAGAAAGAAAGAAAGAAAGAAAGAAAGAAAGAAAGAAAGAAAGAAAAGGGAAGGAAGGGAAGGAAGGGAAGGAAGGGAAGGAAGGGAGGGAAGGAAGGAAGGGAAAGGAAGGAGGGGAAGGAGGGGAAGGAAGGGAAGGAAGGGAAGGAAGGGAAGGAAGGGAAGGAAGGGAAGGAAGGGAAGGAAGGGAAGGAAGGAAGGAAGGAAGGAAGAAAGAAAGAAGAAAGGAAAGAAAGGATTAAGAAAAGATTATTATAAACTATCTTCAAAAATATAAGTCAAAATAAATCCATGATAGACTGGGGCATGGAGCCACTTTTTATCCCAGTGATTGGGAGGCAGAGGCAGGTGGATCTCCATGAGTTACAGGCCAATCTGGTCTACACAGAGCGTTCCAGACAAGTCAGGGCTATATAATGAGACCCTGTCTCAAAAAAACAAAGATGGCTCAGCAGGTAAAATACTTGCCACTAAGCTTGATGACCCAGGACCCATATAATGGAAGGAGAGAACTCCTGCAAGTTGTCCACATGTACACTGCAGCATTCCTATGTGACCCATATTCATATATTCTCTCTCTCTCTCTCTCACATGATAGTGTTAAAAAGATAAATTTTTTCATCTTTTTGCATTAAAATCACTTAAATTAGCAAAAGATACATTTTCATCTCCTAAAATATTTTAAAACTAGTATAAATCATAACTCTACTTTTCTAAGTTAATGCTCTTTGAAAAACACCCTTTGTGTCACGGAGCTACGTGAAGGTGAAGCTGAGACACTCGCAATAGTCCCTGAACTCCCCACCGTCAATCTACACATTCCTGGGACTACAGTCTCTAAAATCATTTTCCACAAAAGTTGTGAGAAGTTAAGAGTGGAGGTGAAAGTGAGGTTGCAGACACTGCAGACTTCCCATCCATACCAGAAGACTCAAGAAAAATGAACAGGGAATGTACAGCTACAACGACCCATTCCTGCCTACAGTTTTACCACCACAGAACCAACACCATCAGGAAGGAAGAGACAGAAAGGCGACTCAGCTCAGGAGGTGCCCACCAAACTTAATTATGAATTTTCAATGTCTTTTTGAGACAGGGTCTCCCTGCAGCCCCAGCTGTCCTGGAACTCACTATGTAGACCAGGCCGGCCTCCACCTGCCTCTGCCTTCCCGAGTGCTGGGATTAAAGGCGTGCGCCACCACACCCGGCTTACTTCTTGAATTTTTAAGACTTAGCCCAAGCCATTATTATTTATTAGATCATAAAATTATGGTAAGGCATGAGAAAAATAATTAAAGAGAATATAAGGTCAGGCCATGTGAATCAAATGTTTGATAAATGGTTTAATTCAAAAACTGCAAGAAAAGAAATACTTACTTTGTTCTCCAGGGCCAAAGCTAGACTGCTGAGACTCCTAAGGAAAAGGACATTGAGTTAGACAAAGCTGTGTAGAGAGAGATCTGTTGGAGACAGTTATTCGAATTATATCCAAATGCTTTAAGCATATAAAAGAACGTGATGATTCCACCTAATTAGCTTTGGCAATGTTTAGTTAGGTTATAGGTTATAGACTTGACTGGAGCTTAACAGAAAAAGCAGTAAGTTATCCAACGGCCTCGTTTTCTTTCCAGCAGCATCCATGATCCTCATGATCTAATTTAGAGAACGGAGAGTTCAAGCAGCTTCAACTTCAGAGTCTTTGGTTTCAGTGATGGAGAGACAGTTCAGCTCAAGCACTGCTCCTGCAGGGGACCCAAGTTCAGCTCCCAGCACACATACTAGGCAGCTCACAATCCCAAGAGACCTGATACTCTCTTCTGGTCTCTGAGGGAACCTGCACTTATGTGTATGACACCACCCCCCTGACATACACATCCATGATTAAAACTAAAATAAACCTTATGGGCTTGAAGACCTCAGTTTGGTTCCAGCACCAATGTCACACAGCCTGCATGTATCTCCAGCTCCATAGGATCAGACATCCTATTCTGGCCTCTGTGTGCATATGTGCATATGTGTGTGCAGGTGCATGTGCACACACAAATAAAACTAATAATAAAAATAAATCTTTTGGGGCTGGAGAGATGGCTCAGCGGTTAAGAACACTGGTTGTTCTTGCATAAGACCCGGGTTCGAATCCCAGCACCCACATGGCAGCTAACAACTGTCCGTAACTCCAGTTCCAGGGGATCCGACAGCCTCTTCTGATCTCCGCAGGCATTGCACGACATGGGTGCACTTACCTACATGCAGGCAATACACGCAGACACATAAAATAAAAATAATGAAATTAAAAAAAATCTTTTAAGAAGTTGATGGCATGCTTGGCATAGCATGCACAAAGGCCTGGGTTCAATCTGCAACATCCCATAAACCAGGTATAAGTTCAAGGCCAGCCTGGGTTTCATGAGATCTTGTCTCAAAAAAAATTACTAGATAAAACAGCTGTACAAACTATATACATTCAAAATACACTCCTTCTACATACTTTTTAAAAAAAGAGCCTTTTCCTGGGTTTGACTAGCCCATGTTCTCCCTCCACTCCCTGTCCCTGGCATCTCACAAACCATCAGCAGCTCTTAGAATGAACTGTAGCATTTTTTCTTTTAACAAGTCCTATAATAGTATAATAGCCAGGCATGGTGCCACACACCTTTGATTCTAGCACTTGGGAAGCAGAGGCAGGAGGATTTCTGCAAGATCAAGGCTAGCCTGGTCTACATAGCAAGTTCTAGGCCACTTGGGGCTGCAGGGAGACTCTGTCTCAATAAGACCCTCACCTCCAAAGAAATTCCTACAAGAGTATAGCACCTCGTGCTACGGTGCAGCCCCTAATCCCGGCGGCTGGGAGGCAGAGGTATCAGAACAAAACTAGAGCGGTGAGTCAGTGAAACAGTCAACTTTCCACATGACTTCATGTGCACGGCATGTCTTTCTAGGTAGACCTATGCTATGAGATACAGTACCTAAGCTACACACTGACCTATGAAAAAGCTTCCTTAAAACAGGTATTATCTTCCTTTAATAAGAGATTTCTGGAAAAGGGTAACCCAAATATTCAGAAAGCGGAGACATACTTTTGCTGTTTGAAAAAAAAAAAAAGCTGATTTTCAAAAACGGTGGCAAGACCATTCAGTAAGGAAATAGCCTCTTCAACAAGCTCTGCAGGGTAACTGAAGAGAACCAGCAAAGAAGAAAATCTAATGAAAAGTCAGAGCTTGAATTTAGCAGCGAATTCTTACAGTAAATCAAGGGACACACAAAAACATAAATTAGACTTCATCAAAATTTAGAACTTTATGGGGCTGGAGAGAGGGCTCAGCAGTTAAGAGCACTAACTGCTCTTGCAGAGGACCCAGGTTCGGTTCTCAGAACCCACATGGTGGCTAATAATTGTCTGAAACTCCAGTTCCAGAGGATCTGATGCTGTCTTCTGACCTCCGTGGGCACTGCATGACACAGCTGCACTTACATACATGCAGGTAATATACTCATACGCATAAAATAAAAATAATTATTTTTTAAAATTTAGAACTTTTATGCTTCAAAGGATGCTGTCAAGAGTGAAGAGAACCAGGCATGATGGCACATGCCTGTAGTCCTAGTATCTGGGCGACTGAAGCAGATGATCTCAAGTTTGATCCAGCCTGGGTACGGTACAAAGTTCCAGGCCAGTCTGAGCTACAAAGCAAAACTCAAAAGTAAAAAGAAGACTGAGGACATGGCTCAGTGGTAAAGTCCTTGCCCATCACTGAAGAGGACCTGGATCAATTATCAGCATCACAGACCAAAGTGAAAAAGAATGGCACACTTGAGATCCTGGCATTCAGGAAGTAAGGCAGGAGGCTTAACGTTCAAGGCCAGCCTGGATACAGAACAACATCCTGTCTCAAGCAGAAGGAAGAAAGGAGGCAGCAGAGGAGGAAAGACAACCTCGGAAATGGGAGAGAAGATCTGAAAATCAGATCTCTGATAATGAACCAGTGGTATCTGAAATATATAAAGAGTTATTAGAATCTTTACAAAGCAGAAATCTACAGCAGATGCCCATAGTCACAAAAGACCACAAACTGTTAAGATTCCATTTATGTGACATGTCCAGAACTAGAACATTTATAGAAACATGACTGGGTGCTCTCTTAGTGCAATTAAGTGTGTACCCGTTTCATAAAGAGATTGCTGGTTGTTTAGGGCTGGAAAGAGGAACTCAGAAGGAGAGAAAACAACTAAAGGGTATGGAATTTCTTTTTAAAACATGTAACGAAAATGGTCTACAATTGTGGTGATGGCTGCACCAATCTCTAAGTATATTCAAACAACTGAACTATAATGTTAAATGGATGAATCACACTGTGAATACATTATGTCTGAGTAACACTTTTAAATCTTCTAAATGTAAATAGAGAAAAAGTCAAGAAGTCACTTTTATAAACTGCATAAAAGAAATGAAGACTCCTAGCCAGGCATGGTGGCGCACTCCTTTACTCCTAGGGCACCTTTAATTACAGTACTTGGAAGGCAGAGTCAGGCAGATCTGAGTTAGAGGCCAGCCTGGTCTATATAGGGAGTCCCAGGCCCACCAAGGATACATAGTCAGACCTTATCTCAAATCCCACCCCACAAAAAAGAAAAAAACAACAAGAAGACACTGCCTTATAAAGTCTCACATGCATTATTTGATAAGAAGTCTAAAAGTTAGAAGCCCAGTTTGGTGTAGTGGCACACTTTTTAATCCTAGCACTTGGGAGGCCAAGACAAGTGGGTCTCTGTAAATTCAAGGCCAGCCAAGACTCAAGTCTCAGGAAAAAGAAAATGTTAAAGCTCAAACTTCCAAGTAATCTGACTCCTGTATCTCATCTCCAACAAGTCAGCTGGTCACCAACATTACTGGATTCTGCCTCTATAAAATGCCACTAAAATTCAAAAAAGCAGCTTGGTGTGGTGGCATATCTTTAAACCAGCATACAAGAGGCAGAGACAGGTGGATGTCTGTGAAATCAAGGCCACCCTGGTCTACGAAGCAAGCTTCAGGCCAGCTGGAGCTACAGGGAGCCCCTATTTCAAAAAGAAAAAGAAAAATGTAGACCAGTCTGGTCTCGATTTCAAAGATCTGCCTGCCTCTGCCTCTAGATTTGACAATCCTGGCCAAGTCTGCCTGTGGAGTGCTAGAATTAAAGAGGAGTACCACCACGCCCAGCTCCTCTTCTAAAACTTTCTCAAGGTTACTATTTCTCGGTTCAGTTGCTTTCTCTTTCTACTACACATCATTAGGTTCAGCATATAAATAGTGTAAATATTATGTTCTTATAAACTCATACCCAACATAACCATTCAGCTCCTAGCACATTTCTCTCATCTCTCCATAGCTACATGCTTCCAGTAGCTTGCTGTAATCAATCTTCTGTCCTTGCTTTTTATTGTATTAATGTTTGTGGTTGGGTGTGGTCACACACGCCTTTAATCCTAGTGCTCCACAGGCACAGGTAGCCATGACTGTCAATCTAGTACCTGGAATTGAACTTAATAAGCATGTTAAATAAATGCACAAATACAAAACTTTTAGAGGTGCAAGCCTGAGATCAGAAATTACATGAAGCGGGCTTAGCGTAGCAGCAGATCCGACAGTGTAGAACCCAAAGATGAGGCAACAGCAGTGACGGAGAACAGCGAGAGACAAAGAACAGAACAGTGAGGTGGAGGGACAGTTTTCTTGGTCTGTCTTTTTAATTTTGAGACAGGGTCTCCCTGTAGCCCCAGTTGGCCTGGAACTTGCTATGTAGACCAGGCTGGCCTGAAACGCAGAGCTTCACCTGCCTCTGCCTCCCGACTGCTGGGACTAAAGGCCTGTGCCACCACGCTCGGCTATTTTCATATGCATGTAACTGTCCTCAAAGCAGGGAAAAGAAAGAATACAAAAAAGAACTCTGAGTACTGTAATTAACTGTAAAATTTTTCCTAATAGAAGAAACTACAAATCACAAATTTCAAGAAGCTAAACAAACCTCAAACACAAGAAAAAAAATGACAACCAAGTACATCTCAGGCTATTAAAGTCAAAACATCTACAATTTAGATTTCTATAACCATTAAATAAACAAATAACTAAATATGGCAATACCTGTAATCTCAGTGTTCAAGTGGCAGAGGGACCAGGATGTCGAGTACTAGATGAAACTGGGCTGTGTGATGAGGCCCTATCTTAAGAGCAACTGAAGCAGGATCAGGCACTGTGGCGCTTGCCAGTTGGTCCCAGCTACCTGAGAGGCTGAGGCAGGGGAGTAACTTGAACCCAGACTGGACAACAAAGCAAGATATCTCCCACATGCACAAACATACACAAACAAATAAAATAAAGATGTTTCAGACATACAGCCAAGAAATACTATAGGAAATATTAAAGGCCATCCTCCAGGT